TCCTTGTGCTAAGCAGCTCTGAAGTCAAGATTTCTATGGCAGGCTTGCTGCTCAGCCTTAATTTTTTTTGACATTTGTCGCGTTGAGTAAAATGATAATATGTTGTCACCAATATACTTCTTTCAGCTTGCATTATTGTTTTAACCAGCCATGAAGTTATGTCAGTGTATGTTGTGTATTGTAATTACACTCAAAAGTGGAAGCAAAGCTGAGTTGAAGGGGTGTCTAAAAGGTGTGAAGGAGATGTGTATGTTCTTTTCACTGTGTGTACTAGGAATGTATTAGAAGCTATAAAATGCTGAAAGACAAATGAAAAATTCAGGTCTTTTTGCTTGTTTTCTGTTTTTTATCATTTAAGATAAAGATTTCTGTGTGTTGACTTGAGGCAGTAACTCTTAGACAGAAAGCGCCTGAGCTAGGAGGACTGCAGAGCTAGAAATACCATTCTAACGTGTGACTGCTTGGTTCTCTGAGGGTATCCTGTAAATTGCAAAATGCTGTAGAGAGTGAAGGAAATGAAGTCTGGTTTACTTCCAATCTATGCACTATGTTCACTTTTAGCCCCAGTTTTCTACCTTCTCAATAATTAAGAGATCTCCATTCTCCCCTCCCAGCTACAGTATTGGAGGGAACAAAGACCATCCTATTGCCCTAGACAAGAGGAGCAGGTGGTTTTGATGTAGCTGTGAAGTGGTGGGCCAGTTAATAGACCATACAAGAAGCAGTGGTGACTGTGGTTCCACTTTCCAGCTCACTGGGACACTCCATGAAGTTTCTCTTTCTGTTCCCTGCATAGGTTTCATGAAAATTGATATCTTTCCACTATGATCTTTTGCTCGCTGTCCAACTTAAGGTTTCTTTTTTGGAACTTAATTTAGAGATTGTGCATGCATACTGCTCTGGGAAGCTTCTGTTGTCAGTGAAAATTGTAATTTGATGGAAAAGTTTTTCTGTCTTAAGTAAAAAAAAACAAATTAGTATCTTTTGTTATCTCCTTCTGTGTTAGCATAACATAACACTTGAAGTATCTGCTTGACCTTTTTAATTTTAAAAGTCTGCTAAAAGCTTATTTGTTTTCTATTGTTAATATATTGAAACTGTCTTTTTGTGGTTGGCTTTTGGGGGATGTTGTAGGTTAAGTAAGAGTTGCACCTTGTTTCTGCGTGGGTTTTTTTTTTTGGTTTTGTTTTGTTTTCAGACATATTTTTTTTAAAGTTTTATAGATGCTTTATTCTAACTCTGTGTTGTTTCCCAAGGATAAAAAACTGGAGCTTAAGGAAATAACTAGCGATAAATCAGGAGTTAAGATTTAGCTTGCTGAACAAGGACTAACTTGATGGCAGCTTGCCATGCCTGTAGGAGTCAGAAGCTTCCACCAGAACTGGCATATCTTGAGTGTTCTAGCCAGTTTCATCTCACTTCTTTCTGGAAGTGGTTACCTTCCCTACTGTAAGCACATACTATCTTACTGAGGTGTGACTTCAAAATTGCCTTTTATTGGCAGTTTGAAACATGATTATGAGGGTATAATCCAATTCTAGAAGTTCCTGAAAAGGAAAAAATGACATCACAGATGACACCCTGTAGTGGTATGCAAACCATTAGAGAAAGCTGTTTGCAAAAGGATGGCAGCTGAAATGTTTATACTATCTGCACTTTTATTCATTGCTGATCTCATATGCACATGTAATAGCATGTAACTCATGCATGAGTACTTAGCTGTGCATACAGTAGTTTGACTTGTGTGAGCAGTTTGTGATAAACATCAGATCTCCCCACCTCCTTGTTAAATGCAGCTCTCAGGTTGTAATAAAGAGATTTAGGTACTCTGTACTATTCTATAGCTGCACTTTGTGAATTGCTTCTTGTTTTTGCTGCTAAAAATGCTGACTGTTCAGAATGCTGTAGAAAAGAATTCTTCACCAGGCTGGCTGCTGTGGTGCTGCACTTTTCTGGCTGATATACTTTTTCATGAAACAAAAATATAAAATTTGAAGTACACAAATCTGACTGTTATGCATATTGCATAGTAAATTTTGTCAGTGGGCTTTCTGGTTGTTTTCTATGACAAGATATCCAATATGTCAATTCCAAATGGGGACTCACGTGGAGCACTGTACAGCTTATTTTGGTATGAAATCTCCTTCCAGCTGACAGTTCAGCCCCTGATTGGTTTCATATCTCTGTGAAACTCTCACCTGCTGCTCATTTGACATTCAGTATTCTTTCTCAGTTGAATCTTGCCTCTCCTCCTTTTCACCCCTGCCTGCCTCCTTGAGACTCAGTTTCCATGAAGAAATGATGCTACTGAAAGACTTTAAATTGCAAATCATAATTGGCTTCTTTCTGAAAGAAATTTGAGGAAACAAACATTAAACAGTTATGTTGTGTAGGATGTCTTTAAGTTCAGGAGTTGTGTACTGTTGTGACTTGCCAGTTCTCCCTTCAGCATCTCTTTCAGTGCCTCTTTTTTCAAGTTGTTCCTTGAGTCAAATTCAGACCATGTCTTGTTCTGTTCTTGCATTCTAAGGAAAATCATATTCCCTGTATTTGTTATTCTCACCATTCGATGTGCTTCAAGTTGTCTGCTGACTTCAAGAGTTGACAGAATGAGTGGTAGAGGTCTCAAATATGACAGAAGAATAGGCAGCTGAAAAGGGAAAAAGAGAGTATTTACAAACCATAAATCAACACAGAACTGGAATCCTATGGAGATTCCTGAACTGCAGGCTCCATATTCAGCTTTTTTCATAGTTGTACACAAGAAGCAAATCTATAGGTAGCTAAATTTCACATTTTTCTGTTAGTGCTTCAAAGTTTTAAGTCCTCAGCTTGTCTCTGAGGTCACTTCTGTTCAGCCATGAATGTTCAGCTATGCCAGTCGTGTCTTGGGCAATCTCTATTGCTCAACTACTTTCATTAGCTGCTTTCCTTTCTCACTCATGACAGTTCTCTTAACCTTCTTGTCTCCTAGATTCTTGTCAGCATCACATCTCATTTTCTGTGTTCTGGTTACAACCTCTGAAGTTACCTCTTCAGTATTGTCATAGTCTGTTTTTATGCTTGCTGCTGAAACTCTAGTTCAGGCTTTGCTTGCTTCCCTGATCTAAATTAATCTGAACTTGCTCGTTAAAGAGAACTGCAAATTTCGTACAGTTCAGCACTGATTTTTCTCTCCTTCAGATTGCAGTCTAATGCCTTGGCAGAAGTCTTTGAAGACTACATAAGGAGCAGGCAGACATTAATTCAGATTATGAACCAGACTTCATATTTACCTTTCAGTGAATGTAGAAACTGATTTTATTTATTTATTTATTTATTTATTTTGTATGCTTTTTACTGGTTTTGAGTAAGACTAAATCATTCAGTGTATGTACTGAGTTCTGAGGATGGTTTTCCTCAGGCTTTCTCTGTGGTTTATTGAGATGCAGTGAGGCTTTCCCCTGGGATAGGAGGGTGCTGACATGTGGATTCTTCACTAAACATCTCTACGTTCGCTCCACTGGTGTTGGCACAGGCATGAGGTAGCATCAGTGGTGGGTTGTAATGATTTTGTCTTTTGATTTAAGAAAAAAACAGTCAGCATTGGAAACAAAAGAAGGAAAGTTCCTTGCGTGTTTAGTCTGTGGAGAATTTCAAACCTAAAATATAGATGAAAAATGACCTATGAGAAAATACGTTGAATTATAAGTACTTAATTACAAGGCCTCAAGATGTTCCAGGAAGATTTAGATTGTATGTTGGGAATAATTTCTCCGTGAAAAAAGCAGTTGGGCATTGGAACAGGCTGCCTATTGAAGTGGTGGAGTCCCCATCTATGAGGTATTTAAAGAGGTGTGTGGATGTGACTCTTAGGGATGTGTTTAGTGGTTGACTTGTGGTGTTAGAATCATAGAATGGCTTAGGTTGGATTGGACCTTAGAAATAATCTAGTTCTACCTCCTCTGCCATGGGTAGGTTTGCCACTTACTAGATCAGGCTGCTTGGGGCACCATCCAACCTTGATTTAAATGGCTTAAGGAATGAGGGTGGTGTTTAGGTAATGGTTGGACTTGATGATCTTAACAGTCTTTTCCAATCTAAATTATTCTAATATTCTATAAGTCAGAAGTTATTCAAAGCAGGTTTTTGAATTTAACTTGGGGTTTTCTTCCTCTGTTCCTCTGCTAATTCATTTCATGCTGGCCGAGAGGTGTTGTAGTCCAGGAAAATGGGTACTGTAATTCATCCTTCGGTTATGTTAATTATTTTCTTAGCTGCCTGTCAGTTGTACTTAGTCCTACTTAATTAACCAAGTGGCCGTAGTATGTACACCTATCTCCTCTGTCAATTAGACTTATATCACCTGTTTTCCAAATGTGGGAATTACGATGAAAAGTTTGGAAAGGTGTTTAATGAATAAGATCTTGCTGCTTTGTTCTAAAACAGTGCGTCTTATGCACTGCTATTGCATGAGATAAGGAAAAACTGGCAGTGGGGTTGTGTGGACTCCAGATATCTTGTGTAGAATAGCAGTGGTTACGTGCTTTTTACAGTAGCATATGAGTAGCATTGTGCATGGTACTGCACCAGCACACCTGTTCCTCCATACCCCTTGCTGTTTCCACTAATGAAAGTCACAACTTCAATATTACTGACATTTTTTTCAGCAACAGAGATGGAAGGATACAAACTCTGCTCTTTCTTGTTTCTAGAGTAATGGCAAAATTTAACTAAGACTGCTTTTAGGAGCAGCTTTTAATGCTTGCCACTCTACAGCCTTTACATATGTTGAGTATTTTATTTATTATATTATATATATTATTTAGTATAAATTTGCTAAGCTTAATATATTTACACATATGCCCACTTCATGTATGTGCTGTGTCCACATGATGTCTTTCCTTAGCAATTTCTGTTTTTATGTAGTCTCTCAGATGCTAAGTTTTTTTTATTTTTTTTAAATGGAAAAAGAGATCTTTGTTTCTCAGAGCCTCTCTTATTTTGCTTCTGCTCCACAGAAATTATCTTAGAGCATGGACACCAGTAAGAAGACAGAACCCCCTTTATCTGTAGAAATGGTACAACAAAGGGCCAATCCTGATCGTAGTCCTTCAGCATCCATTTATGTTCCAGAGCAAGGTGGCTACAAAGAGAAATTTGTAAATGCTGTGGAGGATAAGTATAAATGTGAGAAATGTCACTTCATCTTATGCAATCCTAAACAGACTGAATGTGGACACCGATTCTGCGAGACTTGCATGAATGCTTTGCTGAGGTATGTTTCCCGTTGTAATGAAACATGTTTAAAACCTGAGAACAACTGAAAACAATTTGAACACCACCTTAGTTTGATGTGTACTGTAAGGTAATGCCCTGGATTGGAAGCAGTGTTAACTTGCTGGTTGCTTTCTTATTTCTTACCCATGTGCTGATGTAATCTGTATACTGGGTGAACTTGAGATAACTAAAATTTTGTAAATATTATCAAAATTGCTTTAAAGTGTTTTAATCCCTTGTGGTGGTGCATAAAGTAAAAACTTAACTGTCTGGAATGTAAACTGAAGAGCTGTTTCCCATGACTGCTGACATGACTATTTTGATCCAAGATCCATTTGATAATATGGAACAATGGCTGTGTGAAGTAGTGAGCCTGCAAAGGCTCATTGGAGTGATAGTACCTAACCTACTGGTGGACTCAGATTTACAGCTGACTGGTGGGACCATGGCATTAATGTTAATGGTTATGGAGCTTCCTTCCCTTATAAAGTGCCAGAAAACACATAGAATTGCTGTATTTTATGGGTTGCAGTAGGGTCAGGAATGCCAGGGCATAAAATGTGTGAGCGAATGTTTTAGAGATAAAATAAATGCTGAAAGATGTAGGTAAGAATAAAAGTGTGGTTGTTTAAAAAGAAGTGTCTAGATTTTAAGAAGTATCTGTGCATCAGTAGAAGTATATATCTTTGTCACTCAACTTCGATGCATTGCTAGTGATTGCATTTAACAGTGTTATTTTGACACTTGGTCTGATGTTTAGAGATTGTTCTTGAAGCTTCAATCTCCTGGTGTAAATAAGCAGTCAGTACTTCCATTCACTAATAGGTAACAGAGGTGCAGAACAAAATGAGCTTACTGGATATTACATATTGCACTACCAATATAGAGAGGATTTCACTTTGAAAACTCTGGTGACTTCCTGTTTACTTTTTGTGACCATCCTAACTTGAGGCAGTAGCTTATATTTCGCTTGGAAATACTATAGTCTCAGAAGGATGCACATTAAGAGTACGTGCTACATGGTAGAAGAGGTTGTGTTACAGGGTTGTTACATTACCCTGTCACACGATAGAGAGTAACCTCCATACTGAGGAAATGCAAGTGTCTGTAGCTCCCTAATACATTCCTGTAGGCCTTTTGCTACAGCATGCCAAATTGGAAGGAGGTGAGAAAGACTTTTCTTTCAGTTCTTCATGTAAGGTGTAGTTTGTTGTGAGAAATGCAGTTATTTCTTTCTGAATATATGTTTTTGGAAGGCTCTTACATGGTTAATAGCAGTGACTGCAGAAAAGCAAACACCTGGCATGCTTGGATGTGTGCAGATGGACAGAGCAGACTCTTAACAATCCAAGCAGTAATGATTCTGGCATTGCTGGAATCTGGGCAATTTTCCTTCCCTGCTGAGAGACATGCACATGTGCTTATTACAGTGTAGCTAGAATATGTGTTATTTTACCTTCCTTTCTTTTCAACCAGTTTGCTCCTGAAAAGGACACATAGGTAAAAGACCATCTGCCATGCTGCTCTTTCTTTTCAGTTATTTCACTATGTTTAAGTGCCCCTTGCAAACAAATCCTGTACAAATTTTTTCATTCAGTGTTGATATGCTGCTGCACACACTGATTACATACTACTAGGTTCTGTTCCAGGGTTATTTGAGGACAAAGAACTAGCAGTCAGTATAGCTAACGCAATAAAGATGTCTGCTCAGTATGCAACTGTAGTTTAAAAGAGCAAGTGGGATGCTTGAGTGAATTCAGTAAAAGCAAGGGAAGGATGACATTGTATCAGTATGCCCTTAAGTTGATTAGTTTTCCCTCCTCTTTTTATTCCCAGTTAAAATATATATATATTACAGATGTAGAAGCTGCAAGGCAGTTAAGATGCTCAGATGTATAGAATGGTCACTGCAATGAGTAAAGGCCAGAGTGAGGTGATTTGAAATAACTATACTAATTACATAAAATAATCAAACCAATTTGGTCTTTTACATTGATCTGTAATGCTGCCAACAATGGCAACTTGTATGGTCTGTCAATTAGTTGTCTTGCAAGAGAGTTTACCTAGCAGTTAGCTGCTGCATTCCATCTACGGATCTCAGTGCTTTAAGAGAGAAATTGCTATGGCTATCCTCATTTTATGTGGGGAAAAGGAACTGCAGAGGAATAAATAAATTTACTCCAGATAAAGGGAGCTGGGATCTGTAGCAGCTGTTAAAACCAGAACAGGATATATAACTCACTGTCAGAGAGAGTGAGGTTTAATTATGTGTTGTTTGAAAGAGGTCTGGATAATAGAAAGAAGCAATATTTTCCATGTTTGCACTGACAGACAGAAAATTGACAAGAGCTGTGGATCGGGTACAGGTTTCATGAAGAAAACCACTACACATGTGGCTAGAGGCCTAGTGGTGGTTTTATTTCCTCAGGAATTCCAGACTCAAGTGTTCAAATTTTTTGAGGTAACATCATGTTACCTTATTCCAGTAAACTGGATTCACTTTTAACATTTAAAAAACACCATTGAATAATTGTAGCTAAGTGAAGTGCCTCTTAAATTGAAGTTCTTAGGCTCTTAAAACTCAGATGAGTTGAAATGCAACTTCTTTTTTCTCTGCAGCACTCCGAGTCCAAAATGTACAGCATGTCAAGAAAGCATAGTAAAAGACAAGGTATCGTTAAACTATTTCTTATTCAAGAGTATTGAATTCTGTAGCATACGTGTATTTTGTGGCCATTATTTCATAAGCCTAATAAGCTACTTTCAGAAGATAGTTCTGTTATAAAATCTAAGCTGTGAATACATGGGTATTCTGGGAAGGCAGCTCATTCTTACTGTTAACCACGTGACAGAGAACAGAGTGTGCCAGCTTCAACCTTAATGGTCCAGCCAGGTGTTGCTACTGGTTGTCGTAACTGAGAGCTGCAGCAACACTTTGCAGTTGTTTTCTCATCAACAGAGAGGATGGTAACAAATACTGCATCTCGTGTAGGTATTCACAGACTGTGACAGATCTTGGCAAATCTTACTCCTCATTTGGCTGCAGACCAACATCTACTGTTGACTAACTTTGGTTTCCAATGTGTCCATGAGCCACACTGGAACCATAGCAGTGTGAAGTTACAGTAACTGTAATAAAATCAGACTTCTTGTATGTATAAGTTATTTCATGCTTAAATTATAATCTTTCACATTTTTTTCACAATGAAACTACTTGTATGAAAGAATGAGGGGTAAAGAAAATTTTTTTTAACTTTGTATGTGGTCTGTGTAGTTTTTTACATCAAATTTGCCTAAAGTATTTAGTAATTCTTTTTGTGTGTGTTAGTAGTCTTTATTGCTTCAATAAATGCTTCTGGAGTAACCATTTCAGGAAAGTGTTAGTGGGTACATCAGCCTCTCCTCATTGTAACACCAAGGTGTTCTCTGAACAGTGTTAACAAATCAGCTTTGACATAGGTGGGCTCTTGAGGAAATCAGACCAGTAATAACGATGTCTATGATTCATTATTTCAACTCAGGCTTTCCAGTTCTTAACACATATAAACATGTACATTTGTTAGGAAGCTTCTTAAATCTCTAAGATAGAAGGATGACATGAAGGGCAGTGTATTTTAAATACTTATGTGAGACTGACTGTGCATATCAGACGATGATTTTCGTGAAACTGGAAACCTCTTTCTTCCCATGGAATGCTGATGTCCAAAATCACAAAACAGCCTTCAGACATTCTCTGCAAAACTTTAAAAATCATTTTCTTATTATAATTTCAGTTGGCAAAGCTGTGCTTAGTAACACTGAATTACTTCGTGGGGAAAAAAAACCAACAAACACAACCAACCTACAGTGCTGAAAATTGGTTATTTAAATGAGATTTGTTGATTCATTAAACTTACATCTGAAAACTAAACAGGAATCAGTGACCTGTGTCAGATGAGATTTGGATGAGATTGTCTGCAGTATTTCATTCTTTACTGATGCTTGGAATAGATTCATAGTCATCGTGGACAGTTCTCATCCCAACTTTTCGTTGTTATTAAATGTTTTTATGCTGAACAGTTCTGTAGATACTGCATATGCTGCAGGAATGCTGCATCACACAATTCTGTTTTTCGGTAGAGTAACTGTGGTTGAGCATAGATCTTTGGTATTTCTAAACAGTCACAGAAGAAATTACAAATAACTGCAGGTTCTTATTCCTTCATTTTGGACTGATAAATAACAGTAACAGTGTTCAGTCCTCTTTCCCAGTTTCCTCCCTTAGCAACAGGACCTCTTGATAGTGCCATTACATTGTTTCTGAATCAGAGGCTTTGTGGGATATCATCTGTAAAAGGTGAAAAATTCCAAGACCCTGAGCAATCTGCTTCTAATTTCTCGCTGTTCTGTTATAGGTGGAAAGGCTGAAAAATCTTGTAAACGCTAAAATGGAAAGATGGCTGAAACTTACTTGTCAGTGAAATAACAAACCTCCTCCAAACTAAGACCTTAAGAAATTTCTATAACTGTATATTACTGCTGAAGTGAAAATAGGTGTTTGAACAAACTAGACTTGTTGCATTTTTCTCTTATCTGCTGTGCTTGGACTTTGTCTTACTTTTAGCCTCTCAGATAACCTGAAGAGTTCTAGCTTGTGCCTATTTTAGGCAAGCAAATAACAAAAATCTTAGTCTTTTCTTCTACCTTTACCCTTTATTTTATTAGAGCTTCTGTCCAAATACCTTCTTCCACTGGTCTGCTTCATAGTGGAGTAATCTGTGATATGCATGTTTAGTATTTTATTTTTTGCACATAAGGCTAGAATTAGATGACATTACATTGTATGATTTCTGCTTTCCTTGAACTTTCATATTCTTGAGAGCTTTTAAGTTTCTAAAGTGGAGTGTCTTTTGATTTTTAATTTTTAAATTAATTTTTTCCAGGTATTTAAAGATAATTGTTGCAGGAGAGAACTACTTGCCCTTCAGATATACTGCAGAAATGAAAACAAGGGCTGCAAAGAACAACTTTCCTTGGGTCAATTACTGGTAAGTAATCTAAGAGTCACAAGCTGCCTTATTTTGTTAAAGAACGAGAAGAAATCTTACCGATGAAAACCCTGGCCAATGTCTTGATGTGCCACATGAGTGGTTGATCTGAATGATTTATGAAGTGGAACAGAATTGGATTGTTTTGAATCCTAATGTGTACTTTAAAAATGTGACATTTTGGGGGATGTTTTTAATTTCTATTTTTCACTATTAATGATAATTCTCTGATGTAAGTGATGATTTTTGCATGGAAATATCAAACCTTTGGCTTTGCCTGACTTGCCCAGAAGTTTGTAGCTTTGTTTCATTAAGGCATAACACAGCAGTAACCCAGTGACTTAAGAGTCAGAAGGGATAATTACACAGTAGCCTGCAGTGAAATATGTGAGTTCTTAAACGTGCTTTGAGTGAACCTGTTCAGGTATTTTAAAAATAGCCTTAGAGTAGCATATAGATTTATATGAGATAATATATGTTGAAAAAGAATGCTTACATTTTTCTTAAATAGCCTGTGGAATTTTGAATATTTACAGTATGAAAGTTGGTCATATACATCTGTGGAGAAGATTTCACTGTATTGTATGTGAATGGAAAGTAAAGTCAGTAATGTGATTGTGAGAAGACTTGTAACCATTTGCTTTTGCATAGTATACTGCATGAAGTAACTGCTTACTTTGGTTCTAACCTTTATTTGATTTTGTGTGGGACATCCTCAAAGGTTAGAAGAGATGCACAAAACTTAGTTGACTTGACTAATTTTTATTCATCTTTCAGATGCATTTGAAAACTGATTGTCAGTTTGAAGAACTTGCGTGTCCTCGTGCTGATTGTAAAGAAAAAATACTGAGAAAAGATTTGCCAGACCATGTAGAGAAGACCTGTAAATACCGGGAGACAACTTGTAAATACTGTAAAAGCCAAGTCCCAATGATTATGTTGCAGGTGCAGTATTTTCTTGTATGAAGAATAAGATTCTGTATGTTAATTCAGAGTAGTAACTCTTCTTGTGCTTCTGCTTAGTTGCCAATAGAGTATTGTCTTCTCAGATGGTCTTAAGTCAAAACAGAAAGTAGACTTCCTTTTTTTTTTTTTTTATTATTTTTTCCCTCCAGTGGAGGCACCAGCTACTGCACTGGCTAGGAAATGTTTTCTTTGTTTTTCTGATATTCAGATGCTACAGTTAATAATAAATTCAAATCCGTTAATTCTGAAGTAACTCCTGGTTTTGCTTTTCTGTTTTGCTTAAATGGACATCATAAATGCAACTCCCATCAACAATTAAATGTTACACTGGAAAAGCATAAGCATAGCAATTGACTAGAGAAATAATGTCATTTTGTCTACTTCTTTGGTACTCTGTGAGCTGTTAAAGGAAAGAAGACAACAATGTGATAACAAAATGCATTAGCCTGATAGTAGCAGTACATGACAGGCCTAGACTGGCTTCCTGCTGTTCTGAGTAGGTTGTCTGATAAGAAGCATGGTGTGAATGCAGTGCAGACAGTGAGAACCATACTTATATTACGTGTAGTTATAAGCTGTTTGCATATTTCCCATTTTACTGTATTATGCTGAATCTCTCTTACTCCCTTACATTTCAGTGATTATTTTATATTTACGTAGCTTTTATAGTTTGACCAAGAGTGATCATTCTCACTTGTATTCTTGTGTGTTTTTAAGTAAAGTACTGCCATCATGAGAAGCCTCTTTACTCAGAGGTGTTGTTACTGAAAAGCATGTGTACCCAAGGGATGGAGTACTTCCCTTGTGAGAACAGGCAGAGAGAGCTAAAGCTGTTCAGAAAAAAATATTCTGGGGAGATCTGATAGCAGCCTAGGTATCTAATGAGGGGCTGTAAGAAAGAAAGGGACAGGCTTTGTAGTGAGGTCTGTTGTGATAGCACAGAGAGAAATGGTTTTAAACTGAAAGAGGGGAGATTTAGATTTGGTATAAGGAAGAAATTTTTTTACAGTAAGAGTGGTGAGGCACTGGCACAGGTTGCCCAGAGAGGCAGTGGATGCCCCATCCCTGGAGACATTCAAGGTCAGGCTGGATGGGGCTCTGAGCACCTGGTGGAGCTGTGGGTGTCCCTGTTCAGTGCAGGGGGTTGGACTGCATGGCCTTTAAAGGACCCTTCCAACTCAAATGATTCTATGACTCTTACTGAGTTTTGGAAGTACATCTGTCTTCATATTATTTGAGTATATACTTGGAAGGTTTGGTACATTAGTAATTGTGCAATTACTCAGCATTAGTTGGCAGAAATGTAAAAATGTATATATTTGGAGAAAATTATTTACACTGTTTATTCTTGCATATGCAAAGGTGAAACTGTAGTTAGATTATGAATGCTATTGTCTCAGATTTTTCTTTTGGTGAGGAATTGATAATAGACAAAGAAAGATGTTTAAAAATATCTTCTATCTTAGTAGACAAAAACAGTCAATATTAGATATGTATTGTACAGCTTACATATGTAAGCTTCCATAGCTTACATATGTACAGCTTCCATATGTAACCAACATGCTCATGGGTTTCTTGCAGTCGATTTACTAATATAGGGGCAATGCAGTATCTACAGGTATGTTTTTGAGTCTGAAATCGTCCATGCCTTTTGAGGAACATAAAACTCTATTTAGTTTCAGAAATCTATCATTTTTATTTATTTATTGACCTAGATTTTTTTAAAATTCAGATACTAGAGAAATGCTAATGGTTTTATTTTTTTAGGGTCTGAGTGTCATCTCATTGTACTGCAGTCATGAGAATTAGAAGCTTAATGAGACCGTACATTTGAGTGACAGGCTCCTTATGATTTGAGATTTGTCACCCAGAGGTTGAGTTCATCTCTAGCTTCAGTAGCCTAAATTTTTTTTTAATTGTAATAATGACTGAAACAGGCCTCAGTGACTTGAAAGTGGAGATAGAGGGAGGGTACTGAGAAAAAAGGTATGCAAATGGAAACAAAAATAATTTTACCAGAGTACTTCATAGAATCCCATGACCTGTAGGGTAGGAAATCCCCGTTGTTGAATGCAGACTCTTTAGTTAACAATGTTAGGTCACCCCCTTTTTTCCTTTCCTTTTTTTTTTTTTCCTTTCTTTCGATGGCATTTGTCTAGCCTGCACTGTTGTTAGGAGACTTAACTTATTAATTTCTCTTGTTTAAACCATATGTAAAATTTTTCTTGCCACAAAGCTACCTTTTCCTATAATTTCTGGCAGACAAAGCTGCTGCACTATAAAACAAACCAGTAGCTTGAAATCATTCTGACATATGTTTTTCTATGTTCTGTTACTTGAAAGTGCTTCTATAAAATTCATAGTTAGATAATAGCGTTAAGATATAGATCTAGAAGGACGATATTTCTTGTTGCCTTGGATCTTCACTACTGCTGTGTTCCTGCCAAGGCAGTCTGAATTTCAATTGTTCACTAATCTGAAATATAGCTGAACTGACTGTGCCAGCCACTAGGGAAGACATGTGGCCTTGTCACATTGCTCCTTTGTTGCTATGCTGGAGCCAGATGTGTCCCTGCTTCTTACCATCAGAGTACTGTTGCTCTGAGGAGGTGTTTTCCATCTGTGCTAGCACTGCCTCTGTTCAGGTGACTGTACTGGTAGGGAGGAACTGAACCTCCTGCCACACTTTAAGAGGCTATTCCATCTGTCTAGTTGAGAAACTACTTGGTCTTTCTTGCTTATCAGAGGGATTGCAAGATAGACATGCTCCAGAATGGCATGTTTGGTGTGTTTGGATTTTTTTTTTTTTTTTAAAGTGAGTTGGAATACGTTCTCAGATGCTCACAGATTTGGCTGAGACTTTAACCAAGACCTTTCACGTCTCTGAACTTTGGTCTCCTCTACTTCTTGATTTTATTTCAAAGATAAACATTGCTATTAGGCAAAAATGGCATGCCACGTGTGCTTCTGTTTCAAGCGAGCTTATAAATCTAAATCTTTGGTTCCTTTGCTTTTTTTTCTTAAGCACTAGATATGAAACGGTTTGTTTCAGGTTGAATGGGACATTTCCTTGACATGAAACAATTATTTTTTTCCAGATTTTCATTTTGCTGAGAAAAACTGAGGAGATATGTAAATTCAATTAGATTAGGTCTGGTTTTCTTCCCTCTGAATGGTGATAGGGTTTGACAGCTATACTAAAGAATCTGTCTAGGTTCAGATGAAAATGCCTGTCTAGCAGTATGATGAATTTCAACATACCTTTGAACTTCGGGTTTGTAGCAGTGAGAGTTGGTATCAGATATTTGGGAATAAAACTTAGAAAAGTATTGGAAGGGTAGTATCCATATGTGGGAAGAAAAGGTTATCTGAATGTAAAAGAAATATTTCTGAAGAGCTTTTCCGTGTGCTGTATACTCTTACTAAATGGATATCTGCTGTAGTTCTGTTCACTGTCAAAGCTGACCATTTTTGTGAGTAATTCTTGAGGAAGAAAGCCTGGCTTTATTATAGTCACATTGTTTTTGAGTAAAAAGATAATAAGAGATGAAACAAGTGGATTTCCTCTCCATAGGAAAAATAAGAAAATTCTTATTTTAATGTTAATTATATTATCAAAAGCAAAAATGGATGTTTCAGCATTGCAGTTCTGTAACTCTCTACACAATTGGGATAAACACTGAAAAAAACTGTTTTTGAATTACTGTAGGATACTTTTCTTTGCAGCTAAGTCCTCATTCATTACAGAGTATGAGTTGATCTGTGGTTTGTTTGCTTTTTTTCTCTGTAGAAACATGAAGATACAGACTGCCCGTGTGTCATGGTTTCATGTCCTCATAAATGCAGTGTTAAAACACTCATGAGGAGCGAGGTAAGAAGTCTTGCCCAGTGTTGTGCTGAAAAATGGAATGCTTTTTTTTTTAGTAAGATCTCGCAAGAATTTTGCCAGAAGCCACTTCCTTTATTAAAATGTGAGATCTAAAGAAAAGCTTTTTCTACCACACAGTTAAGTGTGATAACACTCAAGTACCTTTAATGATTTATTAAAAAATGATTTTAAAAAAATAATTTATTAGCTTTGTGTCTGTATTATAAACTTTGCTTGCCCAAGATCAGCGCATGTCTTTCCTGCTTTCTTTTTTAACATCCCTACCCCGATGTAAAGCATTTGTTGATCACAGTAGAGCAGCATCTTGGGGCAGTGGTAGCAAGGGTATTAAAATAGAATGAGTGAGTGAAATTTTAGTGCATGTTGACAAGAGTTAGTAAAGACTAGAAAAATGTAAGTGAATTGCTAATATGAATTATTTCGTAGAAAAAAAAAATAAGGTTAAGATCATTAAATTTGGGGAAAAAATAACTGACACTTGGGGAATTAGTGTAACATAGAGGGTAACACAACACTCCTACAACCACATGCAAAAATGCATTAACATTTCTCTTAGCATGTAGAAACTTATTAATATGTAGAAACTTAATCCAATCTATGCATCACTGCAAAACAAAAAGAAGCACGCATCTTTGAACAGAACCATGTTCTTGTTTATACGTAGCTTCTGTCAGAGTTGATAGATGTTATTTTTTTTTCCTCAAAAAAGAGCTTGCTTAGGATGGAAAGAGCTTATTTAAGTTTTCAGCACTCTGTAAACCTCATTTAAGGAAAGATGAGTTTCTGATCTGAGGATGAACATTCCTCTTTCCAATTATACTTGTTTCCTCAGTTAGATTCTTCTATTTTTTTTTTTTTCCTTTTTTCTGGTTATACTTGTAAATTGTTAATCATATCACAATACCCAAGGAGCACAAGGCACTTCCCAAACATAGGGGCAGTCTTTTTCCCCTGAATAACGAAATATAATATGTATGATAGGTTCTGTACCTATTAATTGAAAATAAGCTGCCATGAAAAAAGAAAGTATATATTCTGGGTCAGTTTTATCAGGGACTTTCTTTGTTGAATGCTCCTCAGTTTAGATCCCAGTTCTGGAGGACTTAGGAATATTGTTAAATCTCTATTTGGGCAGTGAACACTGCAAAAAGGTGTACAGGACTGAAGAAAAAAAAAAAAAAAAAGTCTCATTAAAGCCTGGATCAATACACCATACAAATCACACTTCTGTGCACATATAGCCAAAAATAAGTTCTGAAATCATTGGTAGAATTAGAGTTTTAAACAGTTGGCATGCCTTGCATCATCTGTTGTTACTTGTTGCTTAATTCTTTTCTGGTACTGTTTATATACATAGCTGCATGGTTAGGGACAAAGACTCTAATGCCGAAAATGGGAAAATGCCTGCCTAACAGTTTGAGAAAATCCCGTAGTGCACAAAAAGTGAATATCTTACAGTAGAATAAATGGCAATTTTTCATGTTCAGTTTGTAACTCTTTGGCAGACTTCTAGTTTGGCGAAGTTAAAAATGTGGCATTCTAGTAAAGCCTTTTTACCACGTCTCATTTGGTCTGATTTTTTTCTGAACCATGTGTTTCTTTTGAAACTCTACCATGGATTTCTATGGATAGTGTTTAGATCATATAGGCATGCGTCAGAGATGAGTGACTGACTACATCTTGGTGTTAGTTTGCAAACTCTGTCCTGTGCGTTCCAGACCTAAATGTTCAAAGCAGAATTGGTTCACCCCTTCTTTCCTTGAAGGTGGATGAGCTGGGGCATATGGGACTTACTGTGTGGGAATTTCGTGTGAGGTCCTGAAAGCCGAGAGAGCGATGCCAGCTAAGGAGCTAGATTCTAGCTCCTGTCTGCTTTGTGGGAAATACAAACTGCAGATTCTCTTTTTGAAGAGAGGGGCTTTGTTGTTCTATTGTTTCCAAAATGGCTCTTTGCTCCATCTTTTGGGCAGTTTGCATCCAGCTGCTGCCCTCTGTGCTGCGATGGCTGCTGTCTGTATATGTGTATATGCTTCTGTGAATTGGTTTATTTGAAAATGAAAAGTGGATGTGTTCATCATAATAAAAAGAATGCTGGAATAAATCTCAATCTGAAAAATGCAGGCATTTTACTAATCGTTTTAAATCCCTTATACTGCATTTTTAGAAGTTGTTTAACTGTACTTATTACAAAGCTCTTTGTCTGTTTCATGCAGTGCTTGTTTAGTCTTTTTTTGTGTAATTTAACTGTTAAATTTTGGCACTGAGAATTGCATGTTCTGTTTTGAAAATCTGGTTCCTCATGAAATTAGAATAGAAAAGATGTACTTTGCTACAGTGAAACTGATCTTAAGACTTACCCAGAACACCAGTAAGAATCACTCGGCGAGAAAAGATTAATCATTCTTTAAAGTCAAATGAAATCATGCAAATAATTGCAGAGTGTCTTGTTTGCTTTTTTTTTTTTTTTTTTTTTTTTTTAATTGGGCTGCCTATTGAAATAGTCTTTAGTAGAAGTTTCACTGTATACTAAATGTATCACTGTATACTGTATTGGCATGTGCGTGTGGTTTACATATGTGTATATATAGTATTTGCACCTTAGGTCAGACTGGAGAAAATATACACACGTGTATTGTATGTTCTGCAGGTGGCACACTACAAACCTGATAACCTGTGCCCGTTATGTTTTGAGCATTATCATGCAAACGTCTTTTGCCAAAACTCACATTTTTTTCCTATTGCAGTTGAATGCACATTTGTCAGAATGTATTAATGCCCCAAGTACCTGTAGTTTTAAGCGTTATGGCTGCACTTTTCAGGTCAGTATATAACAATTATACTTCCCAATTGATGAAAATCTGCAAGTAGAACTTAACTCTTTGACGTGAAAGTTCTGGACTTCTTTAATCTTGGTTAAGAAAAAGTCATCCAGTTGCACTGAGTGATTAAGTACTAGATGTATGGGTTTGTTTTTTTTTTTTTTTCATTTAAAAAATAAGCTATATTAAAAAAAAAACCAAAACATCACTTTCATGCAGTGGTTTGGGAGTTCATTTGTTAGGCACATCTTGTTGAAACAGGGAGATTATACATTTCAAGAACTTCATAACAGAATAATAGCCAGGTAACTTATGTTCTTTAGCAAAAAAAAACCCTACTAACTTCATATGTTTATATAAAAGTATTTATTTTTTTGAGCTAAGTACAGTTATATTTTCTTTCATTTGTGTGTTAATATTTTTGTTAAAATTAAACATAGATTAGTCCACATAAAACATCTCTTCTAATGTGCATTCCTATGTCTGTGTGCACATACATGTATAATTGAAACATAGCATGAAATCTAGTTTAAAAGAAAAAACGTTTTAATGCTGGCACTCCCTGCAATATTTTAAAAAACAAAAGGAAGTCCAACACTGGAGTTGAGTTTCAGTATTAGCATTCCAGTCTCTTAAAATATTCTGCTCGCTATACCATGTATCTTGTATCATGAAGGGATTATGAAGGACATTTCAGAAACTGCTGACAGGAAAAAATTGAGTTTATCAGATAGTGTCATTCATTTGTTAGTTCATAATAATTTAAAGAGACAAGAGCTGTAAGTAGCAACACTTCTCCATAAACTGCTTCCTGCAGGTATTTCCAGTTTTTTAAAATAATGAGCATTCATCATTTTCAGTGTTGACAGTAATGCTCTTAATGGTAGAACTGATCAGTGCAATGACCCTACCCACTGTTATGTCGTATGTATTGCCATTCATTTTATGTATGTATATGTGTGCATATATGTACATATATCCACATATATATTTTTAGTATTTTATATAGAGTGCATACCTTGAGGATCATTGGAACCTTTTTGGTCTCTTTGCAACTTAACTGCAATGAAAACTAATATACTCTGCGTTGCAAAGTACTTAATGAAGTAGGTGTAATGCCACACAATACAAATAAAATGATATGGTCTGCATCTTATGTACTCTGTATATGATCTATGTGTGTTCTGTAAACTTTTTATATAGTGATTATTTGTAACAGCACTTATAGGTTGTGCAGAGGCAGCACATCTGAATATCGTAGAGCAATCGTTTTAGGGTGACAAAGTAGTCATGGTGCTATGTCTCAAAGTAGTTTGTAAAGCTGGCAGTTTCCAGTGGTGATAAATTTATCTTAAATATTTGTGTTTTATACTCAACTGACGGGAAATTTGTGCTTATGAAGCTGCTTATGAAATACAACAGGAGTTTAAATTATGGTTTGGGGAATTGGACGTTTTAGATTTTGTACGACTCGAGAGTTTTATTGTGCTTTATTTAGCGTAAAACCATGCAGAAGACTGAAATACAATTTATTTTGTAAATCTTGTTCATCTTTATTGTCTCTGACATATCAAGTTCATTGGATGGAGATATATGGCAGTTGTATAAAACACTTGCTCTACTAAATGTATTCCTGACTTTTGTAAATTCTCAAGTAGATTTCCCTTCTCCCTACTGTTCTGCAACATGCATCCGTGAACCAAAATACGTACTGTTGGTTCGATGTCTTGATGTACTCTTTCTTTGTAGGTTTAAAAGAAGTGGAATTGGCTAAAATGTATAAATTCTTTGTTGTCACAGGGAACAAACCAACAAATTAAAGCACATGAAGCCAGCTCAGCAGTGCAGCATGTTAACTTATTGAAAGAGTGGAGCAATGCTCTAGAAAATAAGGTATATCTTCTACTCACTTCTAATTTTCATTGATTTCTTTAAATCATATAAAAGTACTAGAAGAAGCACTTTTTTTTCTGTTTAACAGCTGTTCAACAGCACAGCTGAAGCAATAGTAAGCTCCAAAAGTATTCAAGCCACATAGCATAACTGTACCTTTGTTATTATAAAATGCTATGAGAACCTTGGCTTTGCAACTCCATATACAATTTTCCTCATTGCTATCTTAGTAATTAAAACACTCTGTTCACGTAGATAAACTGTCCAATATTAAATTTCCTCCCTGAGCTATCTCCTTCAAAAGAGAGGGTTCAGAAAGATATGGCAGTGCTATGAGCTGTATTTCTGCTACCTCAGTATTTTTCAAGGAATTACATTATCAGAAATACCAGGTAATAAAGCAGTTGTTTATTTCATTTGTTTTTGCACTTGCTCTCCAAACTTAATGACCTGCAAAGGTTAATTAAATCATTGTAGCTCAGTTAAATTACTGTGAATCTTGCCATGACAGTTTCTGCTTTAGTGCTGGATCAGAGTGAAGTTTTCATTGTAGTGCATCCTTTTGGCATTACTTGTTTTTAGAATGTAGGGTATTTGGAAATTGCTGGAAATCCCACCAGTAATAGCTCTGATCTTGTTAACAGTTTAAATGAATTAAAGTTGATTTGGAGAGCAGATGGTTACATCTTTGATATTAAAATAGAGAATTTCAGAAGAAGTCACTGGTTTCTTACATTTTTGAAAAAGGTTAATGGTATACATAACCATTAAAATAATGCTTTTTATTTTTATTATTTTTTTCTCTCTACGGTGGTGGTAGGGATCCCAGAATTACTAGAACCCTTCTGCAATTGCAGGCACAAGAATCAGAAGGCCTTGAGGTTTCTCTCGTGATTTAAATGAGAATAATGATTCCAGTGTTAGCTCAGTGGCCATTGTGTATATGTGGTTTCTGACTTCTGATATCTTGCAGCAGACTGCAAACAGGGATTCAGCAAGCTTTGTCTAGAAAGTGCATTCTGCTCTTGGTCTAAGACAGTGATCTCTCATGTAAGAGTTTCCAACAGGACCCTGCAGCCACAGAACGTGTAGTTTTAAAGCAGAAGTTAACAGAAACAGTGAAATGTAATTCTATCCCTGGTATATTAGTGCACGGTCTGCTTTTTATTCTGAAGTCCCATAAGGAAATTGTTGAGCTTGGGAGAGGTCTAATGTAGTTTTTTTTCCCATACAATTTTTACTGCATCAGTAAATTTTAGTTTGATCAATACCAATGCTTCAGTTTGCTTTTGCACTCGAGCCTTTTTTTTAAATATAGGAACTACATGAGGTTTAGTTTTATCAGATACAAATTCGTATCTTTAGTTCTTTTTTCCCTTAGTTTGATTAAAATTACACCACTTGTTTTACATCATTGGAGGAAAATAAAAGAAAATAATAAAAAAAGGAAAGTGTTCCCTGTGACTTCCAGAATAGATTGGTTTTTGCCTTTTGTCTTGAGAGGTGCTTCAGCATTTAAAAAGTGCCCAGCAGTTTGATCTCTTCTACATCTAAGACTGTATACACTTTACTATAGTTGTTAATGTCTTCTTTTTCAAAAAAACCAAAAGATTTTCAGTTTACTTATCATTGTGGGGCTTTTTGTTGTTCTTCTTCTTTTTTTCTTTTCTTTTTTTTTTTTTTTTTGTACTTTTTCACTTCCTGCTTTGTAGACTTCTTCCTATTCATAATAAAGAATTGAATCACTGGAAATCCCAAGACAGTGCCAACTTACCAGAATAACCAGAATAACCACATATCATATATCTGTGAGTTTTCTAGTGAAGAGTACTAAAATGATTTGTAACTTCATTGTTCTCCTTGAGAAAAAAAAATTGCAAATTGAAAATTGCACTGAAGAAAGACAGCGCAAAGTAGCTTGGCTGGTGAATATCACAGAAATTCCAGCCCTGTTGAAATCTTGTCCCTGGTTTCTAAGGGTCAGTATTTTGTTAGGGATATTCACTGTGATACATATGGTGGGGGAAGAAGAAATTGCCCAATCCCAGTCACCACATTGAGATATGTCCCCAGCAGTGACGTGGGGGCATGCAAGCTGAAAGTCTTCGAAGCTGCAAAGGTTGTGCTGAGTTATAAGTTTGGCATTTGAACAGTGTTAGTAGCAAAAAGCAATTAAAAGCTGATCAGATTTAAAATCTTGGATCATAATCATAGAATCATAGAATCAGCAAGGTTGGAAAAGACCTAAAAGATCATCCAGTCCAACCGTTCACCTATTCCCAATAGCTCCCACTAAACCATGTCCCTCAACACAACATCCAGCCTTTTAATGTTGTGGAACAAATTAAAACTTGGTGTTTTGGTCACTGTGATGGGACAGGCTTTGGCCCACAGGTTTTGTGCTCTTGGCACTGGAAACAGATGAATTTCAATTGGTTTTCTGGATTTTAATATAATTTTCTGCCTTTGTCCCTTAAGTTTGTCCCCAGTCTTAAGGAAATGCAGTATAAACTCTTCTTTGTTTTTTTAATGTGTGACTTAAAAATGGGACCTGTCTACCCTAATCCAGTTCTTTGTGGTGTAAGAGGATTTCTTCCATTCTTTTTTAGTAAACAATAACCAAAAGAATGGCTTTATTTGGAAAACTGCTGAATAAGAACACACTTTTTCCTTGAGATATTGCAAATACGGCACAATAAAGGAAGTCAGTTGTTGATGCAGTTCATAAATGGATGCTATGTTTCCATTACCCTGTTTCTAATTTAATTACCCTAAATTCCAAAGATTATGCCAAATATAATTAGGAAACTGTATTTACTTAGCATTAAAGACTTTTTATTCGCAAATTACCACCAAACTGCAATTACTGAGTTAGCATTGACAGCTCTGTATGATTAAAGACTGCAAGACATAATTCTGTTTTTCTTATGTTCTGTAAAAGCGTGTGGAAAATTTGAGCACAAGACAAGCCCACATACTATAACTTGTTCAAAAATGGAAATGTAAAGCTGGTGACACAGAGTGTAACTGCCTGATGACTGGGAGGCCTGGGGAGGAAACAGTGAGAGATGAGGAGTGTAAGGATCACCATTGACTAAAGAACGCTGAATCATTGAGGAAAAAGAGGATGTAAAAATTAAAGTGGCAACCCAGCAGATCAGAACTATGTGGGAGGCAGGCATACTGATTTAAATTTGCACTTACTCTTGGAAATTTTGTTTAGTACCTAGGAATGCATTACTTTAGCCTCAGGATTGTTTCTCTCTCTGTACTGGCAAAATTAGCCTTGTCTCGTTTCTTTTGAACCTCTTCTGCTAAAGTTCCATGTATGGGAATTGTAGTTAATGTGTTTATATACATATGTGCTATGCTATATTGAAAGTAGATAAACACATAATATGAAGTATGGTATCTCTCTATTTCTGGACCCCTTTTCAGTGAATGTGCTGAATGCATGTGGACTCTGACAGTCTATTTTGTCCACTTTAGACTAGTATAGTGATCAAAATTACTTATTAAATAGTTTCTTGAGCCTAGGAATGTAGTGACATACAAGTAATCCTGTGGTGTCTGATTAGAGGGCAGTTAAATTCTACATTGGTGTTCACATCAGGGGTAAAAACTTCTGTGTATGTGCTGAGGGAGTTAGATCCTGAGAACACGAAGCATCCAAGTAATTGGTCTTAATGTGGAATGTTTATCAGAAGATTTTAGTGGGTCGAGAATGGTACTGCTTCCTATCCACATGAAGATCTGACTGTGGAACTAATCAGTATGTGTCCAAATGTTATCCAAATGTTATTTTGGGTTGTTTATTTTCTACATTTTTGTTGCTTACTAGTGTTGCCTAGGGAAAATGAGATTTAAAAAAAATAATGGAAGCAACCCACCACTACCCTTCTCCAAACCACATTAATGAATGGAGCAGAAAATAGTGTGTATCTGCAGTAACAGAGATATTTAATGTATTACTTTCATCTCCAAGGAGATATAATATATGATATTCTTGTAGCAAGGCTCATGTTTTAAAATCAGAATGAGTCACTAATGAATGAATTCATAAAATGTCAATACAGAGAGAGAATATAATCTGCAGTCTGTCTCTGTAGCTATTGGCTCTCCTAGTAGACACACTGGGTTTTCTTTCAGATGCATGAATCCTTTCTGTGTTCACTTGTCTCAGGAGTTTTCATCACCGTGACATTCTGTGAAGCCAAACCAATCCCATTCAGGCAATTTTTTACTGAAATTTCTACAGATCAGAATAGATAGGAATGGATGGGGAAGATGAATGCTTTCTTAATTAGCAGTGTGTGCAGGGCTCAGATGGTTTCTTCCAAACTCCAAGCCACAACCAAGTCAACAGTGGTTGTTGCACTATGAGGCAGTCATAGTTCCACAACACGGTTACAACCTAAATAAGATTATGCTTGGATAAGTTCTGTTCCTGTTTCTGTATCCCATCTGTGCTTTTATCATCCCAAATTGCACCAGTACCACTCTGTGGAAGTGGAGAAGTAGCTATCCAATAGCTAGTTTTGTTCATCTTTGTTTACTTTTTGTTCATCTTTGTTTACTTTTTGTTGTTGTTCTGTTTGTTCCTTTATTTATCTATTTATTTATTTTAAACACATAGAGAGGTTTCCTTAGGATCTCATTTCTTTCATGGATGTAAGGTAGTTTACAACAAATGAAGTTATAGGTATTTTTAATAAACTCTGGCAGGAGTAATTGTAGAATTTTTTCCAGGTGGCCTTGCTCCAGAATGAAAGTTTGGAAAAGAACAAGAGTATACAAACTTTACATAATCAGATTTGTAGCTTTGAAATAGAAATTGAAAGACAGAAGGAAATGCTACGGAATAATGAATCTAAAATACTTCACTTACAGGTAAGAAATTTAGAATCTCCCCATTAAAGCAGAAATGGTAGTAGCTTCTGTACTGTACGTTTACACTTGTGAAGTGAGGTGTTGTAAGTAAAAGGGGGCAGAGTTTAGCTTATTGTAAAGCTTTTCTGATTTTGTTTTATTCTTGTCAGCAGCTGACTTGTGTTGTGTTGCATGCTGACAACAGTTGGAAGAAGATACTTCACTAGAGCACAGCAATTGCCTAGGCTGGGTTAAAATGGAGAGCCCCATTTAAAAAAGGAGAATGATAAAAACAAAGTTACAGATAATATCTGAAGAACAATTGTAACTGCTGTCAAACTAGAGGGAAAGATCAGCATCTTAAAATTGTCATATGCTTAATACATTTAGCTATATTTCTCTTTTTTTTGGTATTTTAAGAGCTACTAATTAAGAGTGAAATCAATCTGATGTCGAATTGTTCCCAACCTAGCACAATGCATTTTAATACACTTTATAAAAATCAGTATTTTTGTTATCCTTTGAGCTTTCTGAGGAAAATATGTCCATATATTCCTTTGCCAATAGGTGTGAGCTTCTTTTTCTGTGGTCTGAATCACCTGGCCACAAACCAGCGTTAAAGTAGAAGTGCTCTGGATGCACAAGCATGATGCTTGGTCCAAGCTGGCATACTTTGCAGACCTAGCTTGGAACTCGAATACTGGGAAATTGTTAATGTCCATGATGTGGACTGCAGCTAGGGAAACCTCAGGAGATATTTAACAAGCTTCTGTGAAGGTATTGCCTACACATTACCCTAGTATATCTTCTGCCACAATATCAGATATGTTTTAGCATCTGCTTTAAAGGAAATTAAATGAAAGTATTTCCTTCACTTACTGTTCATTTTGCATTTGAACTAAAGGTGTTACAATAGTCAAGAAGGGCTTAAGTCTCCAAACTACTGCTTAAGTTCTGCAGCAGTGGGGAGAAATCCTTACAGCACTTAATCTTGCTGTGTTCTGCTCACATAGTAACCAGTCTAGCTTGCCTTAGTCATTGTTGCTTGGTTTGATGATAGTTTGGGATCTGGCTGCATGCTTACAGTTTTTTATTCTGACACTGGGAAGCTAATCCATGTATGTATTGATATTGCCTACTGAATCTGCCTGGAGGTAAGTTAATTTGTAAGCCTGACATTTGCTGTCTCAATAACCACTGACAAGAAGTAAAATAAAGAAAGCACGATGTAGTTTTTCATGATTCTTGCTGACCGATTGCTGGTTCCAGTAGCTTCACCAAGAGAGGGCATGTGATCAGCTGTTATTTTGTGGAAAGGAGCTTTCACATCCTGTATCTAGTCATTTTTATGAGCATATGAAATCATAATAGTAAGCCAAGCCTTAAGCTGAGTGTGGACATGAAACATGTAAGACAAAAGGCATAACAATCTTATGAATATAAAATCATGTAATAGGTAGTACGTTTCTTCAAAGAAGGGAGGATGCACAGTTTGTTCCTCCAGTCAAAGTTGTACTTGTTACTCCTTTCCTGGTGTGTTCTTTTGCCATTCAGTTTTGCTCTATCACTTGTGTCCATTAGGAACATCTGAGAGAGAACTGCAAATATGGTTTTCTTTAGATTTCCTCATGAAATTTGCTGAATTCTTTTAATAAATAATGATGCTAAAATTCTGAAATAATATATTAAAAATACAAACCAAAAAACCTAGATGAAAAATCAATATCCAGAAGAACCCTGAATAGGTTTTTCAGGGATATTACTCTGGATTAATGATCTGGAGAGGTCAGTTGCAGAAATAAAAAGTTCGCTCGGAAAATTGATACCTACTTGAAAATTTATGAGTACAGTGTGAGACATCTGTGTGCTTTCTAGTGGCATAATTAGAGAGAGTGAAATTCTCCACTTCTGCATTAAATTCAGATTAATACATCAGTATCTCCTAGCATGAGGGAGACTGTGTCCCTATTGGGTAAAACGATAGAGATCCCTCTGCTTTAAAAACAAACATGGAATACAAGCCTATTTGTAATTATTCTGTATCTTTTGAATTTATGTGAAGAGGTGGAGGAGATAAAAGGCTACACATGTCAAGCAGAAGCTTAAACTGCACATTGGTTGTATATTTACAAGGCAGAACATTGCGCACGTGTTGATGGAGAGAAGTTGGTCCCTGGTGGCAGCTTCTGAAAAACATTCTCCTCAAAGGAAAAGAGCTTACAACTCTTCAGCACCTTTGAAACTTTCCCAAATTGTCAAAGAATGTGTTTATTTATTTTGTTTAGTACTGTGTTAATGTTAAGAGTGCCCAGTCAGAAATGAGGGCATCTCTGTGTGAGGTACTGTATAAATCCTTAAGCATGTTATTGTCCTTGCCTTGGAGAGTTCATGGGTTGTGTGAGTACAGGGAAAACATCAGACTTACACATCTTGCATTTATTTCTGCTTGTTAACTGCGAACTAATGACTAAGTCCCATGGCTCTGGTCTCAAGGTGTTCATTCATGCCATTCCATTGAGTGTTTCCTTTTGTATGTATAGCAAACAGCTGTTTCCTAATTTATTTTCTGATGGTTGTAAGTCCAAGAGAAAGGATGTGACTGTTGGTAGCTAATGATCATTATGTCCAGGAAAGTTGCTCGATCTGTTTAATGGCACCATAGTCATTGATTTAAGATTCAGGACACAGTTTTCCATGACAAAGTCCTAATTTTGCAAGTGATATATATGTGTATACATAAAAGCTTGTTTTAAAACACCAACATAGAAATAAATGGTTAACTTGAAATATATTGGATTACTTAGTGGGCTTGGGTCACAACAGAATAGAACACTCCAAGACGAACATGATTTTGCTAGCTGGCTTGTCAAATTGACAGCCATCAATTAATCATTACAGACTTTTGATATAACTGAAACCACATGATTAAAAATCAAATGTTTAAAAGGGGAATTGAAGGTTTTGTGAGGCAAAAGGGTTTTCCCCATCAGTGGGGAACATAGAATCCACATGGTTAACAAGAATGCAAATGCAAACTAACTTTTTTTCTCGTTTTGTACTCAAACATAATTTTTTTAAAGAAGTGAAAAGTAATTTTTGCACACGCTGGCACTGTATAATAATCAACTGTAAAGTTAGACTTGGAATTTAACTGTAGGTGGTAGCAAAAGTAGTTTCTTGACTCAAATATTTCTGTTACCATTTGAACTTTATAACTGACTATGGGGTTCTGGCTAAAATTCCTGCTAGTCAAAATTAGCCATGATGAGATTAAGTACTCTGTATTTCTTATGTCAGATTTGAGGTAGACTGGGGGGAGTATTTTGTCCCTTAAAATATACTGAGGTGCTTGCAATATTCCTGTTTTTGGAATACTAGTCTTTTTTATATATATAAATATATATAAATAATATATATAATATCTGTAACATTGTAATGTTTTATCAGTTGTTTTTTTATTTTGTTTTCTTAAAAACAAACAAAAAAACACAAAAACAACTAATGAACTCAGTAAGCAAGCACCTTCAGGACATGTGGTTTATTGAATTTAGGAAAGGTGGGAATTTCAAAAGGGGTTAAGGGAGTTAGCAGTGCTAGTTCTGCTTATGCTGTGTAGAGCTTTTACTCCTAATGATATGGGCACAAACTGACTTAGGCATGGATAACATGGATAGGAGCTTGTAGTTTGCTAATGCCTGTGTCTGCACGTATTCATACTCTGTGTGGAGAGAAAGAGTGCTGATGGCTTTCCTGAGGGGTGAGTTAATTTGCTTTTGTCCAGTGATAAAAGCATGCACGCAAGCAGCCACTTGATTCACACCATGGTAAGTTGTGCCCATACTATGTTACTTAAGTACTCTAAAACACCCAACAAATACCAGCCTGTAATACCAGTGTAGAGGCATTTAGAATATTGGTCTTGCATTGAAAATCTTTTTTAAAAAGTCTTTAGAGAAAGGCACTCTAACAATCCTGCTTTGAAATATTTGTGTTGATAATTCTGATAGTGCTCCAATTTTTTGTTATTTCAGTATTTGTAAATGGAACTTGTTTATATTGGAAATGTATCTTATAATGAATACACAATCTTTGTGTATTCTGCATGAGTTATGTCTTTTTGTTATTTTTTTTCTTGTAACTCTAACTTACTGTTTCATAAAGCGAGTGATAGACAGTCAAGCAGAGAAACTGAAAGAACTGGACAAAGAAATCCGTCCCTTCAGGCAGAACTGGGAGGAGGCTGACAGCATGAAGAGCAGTGTAGAATCCCTCCAGAATAGAGTGACTGAGCTGGAAAGTGTTGACAAAACTGCAGGGCAAGGAGCTCGCAATACAAGTAAGTGTAAGCACAATGGACTGAAGTACTTGGCAGTGCTGCAGAAGGAAAAAGGATATCCTTTGAATGCCAGTTTTGTTATCATTTTCCTGTGGAAGCATCAGTAATTCTGATTCTTGTGATTTGCGTATAGGAAATGATACAGTCACTTCAGTGTTGTGACAATGATTCCAAACTGGTTCTTAAGGCTTAATTCTTTTATTTTGTTTTCTTGACCCTTCTCTTGATTACAATATTATAATTAATTATAAACACTTTTTGAGCTGATCTTTGAAAGCCAGTAGCTTTCAGCATCTTCTTTAAATGCATTCTCAGTGTATTGAGACATCATTTTCTATCATTTGTTCTCATCCATGAATAGATTAGCATCAGTATTATCCAGCTGAAATGACCTGCTCTGCTATCTGTTACAGAATTGTATTTGATCCAAAGAATTACTATGAGATGTGCTTGGGCATTAAGGTTGTTGTCATACTTGCTGAATAGTATACATCATATATAAGGGTTTAAATAATAAGGCAAAAGAACTTAACATTTAAATGGATGTGTATAAAACAAACCTGCCTCTCAATATTGCATGTTGATCAATTTTGTCAGTGTGCAAAGAGTAACACATTACTTCTCATGCTGGGGAAAAGGAACAGCCTTCCTCCCAAGTAAGTGACCATATAAAGCAGAGCTAAGCTTGAATTTTCCATTCTGTTATCGTGTACTTTAGCCAAGGTAACTACTACACTTCTCAGACAAGCAGAGTGTGAGAAGAATATGTGGAGTAATTGGTGGGTGAAATTCCCTTTGAATTTCAGAACTGTGAGTCCTTGCAAGGCTAATAAGCTACAGATTATGCTACCAAGTATGTTCTCAAAATACAGAAGCCTCTTGCTCACTGGCCAGACAAAATTTTAGATGATTTGAATAGTTTACTCATGCTGAATGCATCATTAACACCCACACGTGTAACAATCCTAATTAACCTAGTTTCTAGCTGGCAAACTATTGGCAGTGGAAGTTGTTTCAAAGGTGACCATATGTGGTTTGGTTTTTGGAGAAGAAAATGTTTGTGTATTAACTAACAGTATTGATGATCAATTTTTAAAGTCTTTAGAGAAAAGCCCGTTTTCTTACCCCTCATCCTCTCCATTTTCTAACAGGCATGCTAGAGACACAGCTCAGCAGGCACGACCAGATGCTGAGTGTTCACGACATTCGGCTGGCTGACATGGACCTCCGATTCCAAGTTTTAGAAACTGCTAGTTACAATGGAGTGTTAATTTGGAAGATTCGAGATTATAAACGTCGGAAGCAAGAGGCAGTCATGGGGAAGACTCTGTCCTTGTACAGCCAACCCTTTTACACTGGATACTTTGGCTACAAGATGTGTGCCAGAGTTTACCTTAATGGAGATGGCATGGGCAAGGGGACGCACTTGTCGCTGTTTTTTGTCATAATGCGTGGAGAATATGATGCGTTGCTTCCTTGGCCATTTAAACAGAAAGTGACTCTCATGCTAATGGATCAGGGTCCGTCTCGGCGCCACTTAGGAGATGCTTTCAAGCCAGATCCAAACAGTAGCAGTTTCAAGAAGCCAACTGGAGAAATGAACATTGCGTCTGGCTGCCCAGTCTTTGTGGCTCAAACTGTTCTAGAGAATGGAACGTATATTAAAGATGATACTATTTTTATTAAAGTCATAGTGGATACGTCGGATCTACCAGACCCCTGACATATGGTCGGGGAGGCAGATTAAACAGAAGACAACTCCATTTGGGGGTTTTATATCAGTTTGTCTTCAATCAGAGGTCCTAAAGCTCACAGAACCACCTTGTGGAACAGATGGAAGAGTTTGAAGGCGTAACTGCATAGGGTCCAAATGAGAAAGTAGCAACACATTAAGAAATCATACCATGGTGTATTTTTTAATAGAACTAGCAACACTTAAAACTCTGAAGAATCACTTATCCCTCATGAGGATAATGATTACGGTCAGAGAGGATTTCTGTTTTGTTTTGTTTTGTTTTTAACTTATTAATGATCTAGTCCATTGGAGGTGAAAAGACATATACAGTATGTGCTGAATAAATTACTGACTTTTATTTCTTTAAGCTAGAATACAAAAATACATTCACATGTGGGCTAGCTGGAAATTGTCAGCATGTTAAAAGAAGAAATGAAGTAATGTTGCGATTATATTATTTGAAAAAACTGAGGTGCAATCTTGTCTGAAATATAGTATATTGTCTTTTTAAGGCCTCATCTGGTCTCTGTTTTAATAATTACTTTGTAAGAAGATCTTGGAAAAGTATCCATGTCTTCTCGAAAGTATCTGAATCAAAATCATATTTTTATTTAAAGTTCTATTGTTACAGAAAACATTTTATTTTAAAACTGTTGATAGACTGATATTTCTTGGAAGAAAAATAGAAGAAATCAAACACTGGTTATCACTTGTGATAGGAAAAAAAACTATTCAATTCTGTTATTTCTCTTTAGAAATGTAAACCTACAATATATGTCGTAATTAATGACACTATTTCAAAATTAAGGAAAAATCACTCATGGATGCTGTGCATCATTATCAGATTTATAATTGTTTTCACCCTAAAATAGGGCATTTGTTGAACTTTGGAGTTCTAAACGGAATCCTGTACAGTTTTTAAAGTTCTGCCCCATGCTTTCCAATCAAGCTATATATGTTGCAAATTATGCTGTCAGCAGTATATAGTATTTTCAGTATTGGGGAGGAGGATTAGTGCTGAAAAAGCCTATATGTTTGTTCCGTACTAGCAGCCATTGCTTCTTAAGGACAGATCAGCCATGTCTTAATACAGTGATGGTGGCTTGCATGCATACATGTGCCTTAGATGTGCTGTGCTGCTTATAAACCATAGCTTTTTATTCAGATTAATTCTGATATCTGAAATAGTAGTTTAATTGGACTTCAGGCATAATGTTTAGCCTTGACTTCAAAGCCCTTAGGCACCTCCTGGTGTTCCAAATACAAGCCAAAACCCATTCCTTTGGCTTTGGGAGCTTCTGTGGCTTGGCCGTGGCAGAATCCGCTTTACACAGGTGCCAAAACGTTATGCTCAGTGCTCCTATGGAGCTTGGACTAGGCAGTCTCCATGGCCAGCATGAAGGAGGGCGACATTTTTCCTCTAATGCCTGCGGTCGTAAGGTGGCATCACTTTAAACAGACTCATCCGGGGAACTCTGTGGGGCTGTGAATGTATGTGCTCATGACAGCTTTTCTAACAGGGAATGCACGGCCTTCTTTATTCTAACAGCCTGAACTTTAGTGGAAAGCATTTGCTAGCACTGAAACATGCTGATTGCAACCTGCTGTGTTCATCTGCTTCTATTTAATAGTCTGTGACAAGCAAGTCTAGTGACATAGCCTGACTGTGGTGCTTTTCAAAATCCAGGAACCGCTTAAGTAGAGCAGGCTTGCACTGCTGTGGTAAGCCTGTGTGGGCTCGAAAGAAGATGGTGCATCTTAGTCTTTATAATGTCAGGTTGTATCAGCTTTCTGCTTTTTTGAGGCATAGTCACAATTTTTTTGTCTAAGGTGCAGTTGAGTTCATGCCTTTGTATTTCAGCTTGTCTTTGCTGTTGTCTTTTTTGGCTGTGCCTTCACACACAGTGCCTGCAAGAAGTATTTATGAATATACAGTGCATGCTAAGTGGTCTTCATGGGTTTTCCAGGCACCTGCTAGAATACTGCCTGCTGCTGACCATCACAATCGTCAGTAGCAACTTGTCTTCCTTTTCTTGCCTTCCATTGTCCAGGTACTGTATTCCCTCTATGGTACATAGCTGTCAACAGGTGCAAGCTAAAATATGGAGGCACATGCTAGCATTTAATTTCTAGCACACAAGGAGGACGTTCTGCACAAGAGATAAATATCTATAGATATACCTGCATCTATATCTCTAGATATAATTCAATGGCACTTGCAGTTTTATGCAGGCTGCATAAGCAAACCCATCACTTATGCTTTAGGGCGAAGGTTCGCTCGATTCGTGTCATTTTAATAATTGTGAATGTAGGCAGCTGAGCTTTTGTGTTTGTGCATCACAGAATTTTACTGAAAACAGGATTCCCAAGTGGAAATGTCCAAAGGACTCTCCTCCCATTGCTAATGCATGTCTTGCAAACTTAAATGAAAACGTTTGGCCATCTCAAAACAGTTTATATCCTGTTTCGATCTGGGACTTGGAGGAGATTTCTAGTATAAGCAGGGCCCAGCATATTCTGCAGATTTGTGACTACAGTTTCCAACTCCTGTGACAGAATTGCGCTTTTAAATCCAGGCTCCGAAAGAGGAGGAAAAAAGTGTTTCCAGCCTTTGTGACTGAAAGAGGACTTTGAAAAGTGTATGCTAATAGGGAAGTCTTCCTGAGTGTGCACACAGCCCAAACTAGTAGCTTTAAGAGATCTGAATGTCTCCTCTTAGCGGGATACTGACTCAGAAACTTCAGAGAGAAGTTTAAATATGAACACTGCTAACTATCTTAATGCCGATCACTGTAGCAGAAACATCAGTCACTGTTGTTATTTCACAGATCTCTATGCTGCTTTCCACATCTCCCAAGTGCCAAAAGCACCAGCTGCCAGAATCTTCAGCTTCACTTGGGCAGCTTTTATAATGCAGTAATGTGCTATCGATATAAAAATATTTTTGCATATATGCTTTTTACCACAGTTAATAAAATGGAGGCCTACTGCACTTTTTAAAACTACGTGAAGCTGCCAGAGAATTTCCAGTTTGACAACCCTGCGTACTGTGAAATCCGGGATCTCGCTACACAAACGTACACACCGCCTGCTGTGGGATACCTGAAGCCTTGACTGTAACACTCCTCTTTCCGCAGAACTCACAGGCTGTCTCTGCAGAGTTCTTACTTTGTACATAGAAATCTGTTTCCTCTACTTTCCAGCAAGGAGTATGTAGCATTTTGTGATAACAAGGCCGCTGTATATTCTCTAAATTGAAAAGAAAAGATACCTGGTGCTTTACTCAACACTTAAAATTATTTCGATTTTTCTTCCATCGTTTAGATGCCCTTTATGGTTTTTTAAAAAATTCGTATTTCTGACCCAGATATCCGAGGTTTTCAGGGTCAGTCTATTCTCAATAATTAATGGAGAAATGCTCTGCCCCCAGATGTTCCCTGGAGTCCCCGGCTAACCCATGCGGTATGCCACTGTCACAAGGGGTTCCAAAGTATTTGTACTACTACAAACAGCATTTCTTCAACAGGGTCTTCTTTTCTCTCCGCTTAGTAGATCTTAGCAGCGCACAACTGAAGTCTCTAGCTGGTATTCTTTCTTAATGATGACACTCCAAGTGATGTACAAGCCTCTTTCATTTCCAGCTTTCTGAAGGGAGATGCCAGTGTGTGAGAATCTGGATGTTGCCCTTTTTGTGCGCCATTCAGCACAGCGAGTGTGCATCTGTTACTTAGAAAGTCTCGAATTCTAAACAGGATGAAACTATTCCAGTTTTAAGGCCAACTGTGATTATTATGATTGACAATGTCTGCGTTACTCCTCTGATCTAATTAAAGGGGTCTTGTTTCAGTTACTGTCTACATGATACACCTTCAACTGCTGACTACGATATGCAATGTTGATTTCAGCCTCGTACTGTAAATGTTCTTCACAGAGAGAATGTGCAATAGGAAGATAGGAAGGGTGGCATAATTTTGATGGATAAAAAAATGTTGTGGGTAACACGCTTGCATTCTTATAAACATGAAATATGGTTTATTACCTTTTCCAATGGATTAACCCGCTTAGAAAAGTTGAAGATACATGCCTGTTTTTGTGCCTGGTCAATTTCTCAAATGCAGAGATAGTAGCGATTTTTGTTAGCTGCGGTTTAAGTGTTGAACCCGTGAGTGCCAGGTTGTGATTGTATTGCTCGTGTTTCTCAGCTTGCCACAATTTTGACTCATTGAGTTGGAGTATAAAAGGCACCACCTATTTGTATCTGTATTCCATCACGTGGGTCAGGCATTTCACCAACAATGCAAGGTTTCTGTTATTTTTGTTCTATTTTCAAAACACTGGTGCTGTTTAGAGAAGCGTTTAGGGAGTGATAAGAAAAACTGCCTGAACCACAAAAGAGTGAGAAGCGTTACTGCAGTATTGATGCCTTGTTATGATTTAACTATGCAAATATACAAATAGGTGAGAGGGAAAAATTCTTGGGTTGCATACCTGATCTCATAGTCTTTGCTCTTTAAAGTACTCATTAGTTTGTAGGTACATACATATGCAAACAGACATGCACACATATATGCAAAGTCTTTTTGTTTTTAATGTAGAAGTGATGAAACAAAACCCTTTCCCCTCAAGTTCTACCTGATCAAGTGGTGCAAATATAACTTGCTCCTGCTGGAGGAGAATCTGGGCTAAGGGAGAACTTTGGATTCCCATCGTTCATGTCTGAAGTCTTGTGTATAGCAAACAAGCCACTTACTGACTGGGAAAATGAGCAAATTGTGTAGCCTTTCTGGAGACCTTGGAATGTCACTTATGACATGTCCTTCCTTGCACTCAGCTACTTAGGAGATTTGTGCATTTGAACCAAACATAAAGATGGGCAGCTTGTTAAAGGCAAATTCACTCTTAAAAAAAAAAAAAAAAAAAGAATAAAAAAAATAGAAAACAGCTGGACCCCTTCTTAGAATTCCTATCCCATTCAGTCAATGCCTCTATGTTCTGATTGACCTAGAAATCATAGCTACTGCAAAAAAAAAAAGATCAATTCTGGAATTCAGTCTGAGAGTAGCTTTTTGTGCTGTGTACAGGGCAGTAAGCGCTCTGTATCTGCAAACATTTTCTTACAGCAAGTAGTATTCCTCTTCTGGAAAAAGGAAATTGAGGCTGAGACATGATTTGCCCAGAGTTGTGTAAGGAATCTCCTGGAGCTGAGGCTAAGGGAAAGGATCCAGTTCTGTAGTGTCATCTTCCGATCACTAGGCTCTACTCTTAATACATTTGCATTTTAAAGGAACTGAAAACGAGTTGACATACCTTAAAGGCCCACATCAAGACAGTAAGGGCTAGAATACAAGCTGTCGTGATTTGGGGTTGTACATGGATGGCAGCCTTTGTGTTGCTACATGGCCGTGCTTTGCCCAGCCTGTGGAGTGGAAGGCCAGCACAACGTGTTGGTGTGAATAATTGCAGCAAATGTGTATCCTGCTCTCTTTGTTCAAAAAT